GCCCCGCCCCCAGGCAGGGGGAGGGCCAGCCTCGAGGCTGTTCCCAAGGGAGGGGGACTGGCGCCGGTGTGCGGGCGCAGGGCAGGGCCCACCTGAGTGCCGCCCCCAGGTACATGATCATGCGCGAGTGCTGGCACGCCGTGCCCTCCCAGAGGCCCACCTTCAAGCAGCTGGTGGAAGACCTGGACCGCGTGCTCACCGTTACATCCACCGACGTGAGTGCGGGCCCCGCTGCCACCCCCTCACCCCACCCCCCGCCCGGGCCTGGACGCCGCAGGCGTTGGAGGTGGCGTAGCACTGACCGCACCCCCACCCCGGCCCGCCCTCAGGAGTACCTCGACCTGTCGGTGCCCTTCGAGCAGTACTCGCCGGGCGGCCAGGACACCCCCAGCTCCGGCTCCTCAGGGGACGACTCCGTGTTCGCCCATGACCTGCTGCCCCCGGCCCCACCAGGCAGCGGGGGTTCGCGGACGTGAAGGGCTGCGGCCTGCGGGCCAAGCCCCCATCAACATGAGAGCGGACCCCAGCCCACCGTGCTGCCGCTGGTGTGCCGTGACCAACGGGACTCACCGGCCTGGGCTTAAGACCTGGGACTGGTGGACAGATGGACAGACAACCTCCACGTGTGTGCGTGTGTGCACACGTGTGTGCTCTGGGGTCCCCGGCCGGTGACCTCCTGGCCACCTGGGCCGGCAGCACCGGTGGACCGGATGTAGAATGTAAGGGGCTCCTCCCGTGGGGCCGCTCAGGGTGGGTAGCCGGGCCCCTCCCCATGCTCCCCTGATCCCCGCTGCCACCCCACAGGGAGCATCGGGGCGGGCCAGGCTCCGGTGTCCAGAGTGGGCTGAGGCCCCCCCCTCCAAGTGCCCAAGCTGAGCCTACAGGGAGGCCCCCGTGTGGCACACCTCCCACCCAAGTGGCACCTTGCGCCTGGGGTGAGTGTTAGCGGCTCCCCACCTCCAGGCCTCCCCACTTCCCACCCTGACCCTCAGAGACTGAAATTACGGGTACCTGAAGGCGGGAGCCTTTAACTTCTATCCGAAAGGTTTATTCCAGAAATGAGTGTACATTTATATAAATGGATGCTGTGTATATGATATACACACACATATATATATAAATATCTATATGGAAGAAAGCAGGCTGGTACAACTGAGGCACGGGACCCTGGGGGTGCAGGGGCCGGGGTGCCCTAGTCGAGGGAGGCCCCCTGGGGGGCTCGCTGTTGAGACACACGCAAAAACCAGCAGAGGTTGGAGGGGCTTTTCTGGCACCGCAGTTTTGCTTTAAAAATTGTTCCTGGACCTGTATGTTTGTAAAGCTATTTATCGACGCCCAGAGCCCGTGTCCCCGTCACTCCCCCGGCTCCTAGCGTTCAGCCAGCTGCACGGCAGAGGCTTAAGTTTTAACTTATTAACAGTGAGATGGTTTATGCTTTGTTTAGGGGCATTGCTGAGGGTGTGTCCAGCCCACACCCCAAGGCCAGAGCCAGCCCCCTGGCACCCTAAAGGGTCGTTAATAGTTTGAGATGATTCCGTGAGGATGTTTCATTTCCTTCTTTTGCAGGAGTAGATTTCTATAGGATTTTTCTTTAGATTTATTTTTTTAGACTTCAAAGCAAGCTGGTATTTTCATACAGGTTCTTCTAATTGCCATGTGTTCCAGGCGGGGAGGCAGTTTC